CCAGGCGCAGTGGCTCATGCCTGTAATTCCAGCACTTTGGCAGGCTGAAGCTGGCAGATCATCTGAGGTCAGGAGTTTGGGGCTAGGTTGGCCAACATGGAGAACCCTGTCTCTACTAAAAATACAAAAATTAGGTGGGTGTAGTGGCACACACCTGTAATCCCAGCTCCTGAGATTACTTGGGAGGTTACTTGGGAGGTTGAGGCTATTTGGGAGGTTGAGGCATGAGAATGGCTTGAACCCTGGAGGCAAAGGTTGCAATGAGCCAATATTGCACCACTGTTCTCCCTCTCTCTCCAGAGGCAGACTCTGTCTCAAAAACTTGTGTATCATTCAGCTATGATCTTAAAGTTCTATGTTAGTGGTTCCTAACCACTTTTCTTGCCACTGTGTGCAAGCAACAATAGACATGAGCTCAGCACATTCATTGGGCACTCCTTGCATTCAGGATGTTAAGAAAAAATATGGGAACACAAGTGAAGGAGGGTGACAATATTTATTTTTTAATAGCTATTTTATTTTTTAAAATAGCTATCAAGTCACTGTAATTCTGTGGTTCTCAATTGGGGTGATTCCTCACCAACTGCAACCCTACCCTCGGGTACATTTGGCAATGTCCAGAGATACTTTTGATTGTCAGACCAAAAACAGTCTCCAGGTGGGAGACTATTGGTATCTAGTGGGTAGAGGACAGGGGTGATATTAAACACCACACAATGCACAGAAAAAGTCCTTTACTCCACTTCCTGCCCTAAAACAAATAATTATCTAGCCCAAAATGTCAATAGTGCTGAAATTGAGAAACCATGCTTTAACTAACAAAAAATTCACTGTGCTTCTGGTCATGACAGCATAATGGAGAACAAATTTATCCTCCTAACTAAACTAAGTATTAAAAAAAATTTACAATCTTAAACGCTGCATGTTGGGCAACCCAGGAGAGTGATTCCTAAGAAATGGGAAACAAGGTGAGCCTTAGAGTCATCCCAGGTTACTGCCAGGAGAAGCTCTATAGCCCATGGCACCAGGAACAGGAACTCAAGAAAAGTCCAGTGGTCTCCCTGAGTTAAGAAGATGGAGCTGACAGTTAAGCAGGGCCACAGTAACTAGAGTTTGTAGGAAAGAGTACTGGAGAGAAGAGAGTTGCACAGCAAGAGACTCTCAAGACCTGCAAAAGGCCTTCAACAAGAATTCAGCTGACTACCCATCAGCTCATGCATGTGTAGAAAGGGAAAGGAGGAATCTAAAGGATTTGAGAAGACAGTGCCCCAAACTCACACAGCCTAGAATAGCACTGCTTCTCAGCAGCAAGAATATAAAATCTCGGTCAGGCATGGTGGCTCAACGCCTGTAATCCCAGACTCTGGGAGGCCGAGGCGGGTGGATCACTTGAGGTCAGGAGTTCAAAACCAGCCTGTCCAAAATAGCGAAACCTCATCTCTACTAAAAATACAAAATTAGCTGGGCATGGTGGTGCATGCCTGTAATACCACCTACTTGGGAGGCTGAGGCAGGAGAATCGCTTAAAACTGGGAGGTAGAGGTAGTGAGCCAAGATTGTGCCACTGCACTCCAGCCTGGGCAACAAGAGCAAAATTCCATTTCAAAAAAAAAAAAAGAATAAAAAATATCATAATTCACAAGTTATCATTAGAGTATTAAGAAGGATGCTGTTCCAGAAATGGGAGATGCATCCTGGACTAAACATTGCTTGGTCTCACCTAACAAAACTTGAAAGCAAAGCTGGAAAGGATCAAATTGTTACCAAGTAACTTAACTGTGTCTCAGAACAAGCATTTTTATGAAGAAAACTATACCAAGGGACATCATAATCAAATGGCTCAAAAATAATGTTAAAGAGAAAAACCTTTAAAGCAGCTAGAGGAAAAAAAGGACAATATTTATAGAGGAACAAATGA